ATAAATAGTAAAAATAATAGTCAAACTAGGTAACAAAGATCATTGTAATCAATCACAAGATATATAGAGATTCGAACTGTAGTTAATATAATAATTCTAAAACTAAAATAATGGTAATTTAGATAAAATAATGGTAATTACAAATTTTAATATTTATGTAATAATTATCAAAACTAAATGTCTTTTATTCCTACAAAATTATGAACTCAAAAATACTCACTTTTGCTATTTTTTAGTGAGTGGAAGTCAACAAGAGGGAACCGATGCCAGCCCGCAGCGTCCTCCGGGAAACGTAGGCAGATTTAAAAAATGTACTAATTTTTGCTGTTCTAAGTCTGCCAAAAAAGTAAGTCAAATTTAATGACAGAGTTAGCTTCTTAATTATTAATTTAATTTCATTGAAACTATTTTATTAATATATAATTTATATTAAGAATTGGTAATTGGTTGACTGTCGTGGATAATGAAGATAAGAATAGCTGGGGTGGTCTGTCAAAAAGGAAGTACATATGCCGACGTTTCGACCTGAAGTTCAGGCCTTCATCAGGGCTAAGAAAATAACCAGATAACAAGGTATGAGAAACATAAGTAGAAATGGTAAAAAAAAAAATAATAAAAATAAAATAAAAATAAAAAAATAAAATAAATAAATATAAAGTAAAATGAAATTGTTAGAATAATGACTAAGAACTAAGAGATAAATAATAATAACCGTTACAAAGTGTGGAATGATGAAGTAGGCATAATCAAAAAGGGTGACTTAAGTGTTACAATGGGAATCTTACATTTACATTTTATTCTAAGATTCCCATTGTAACACTTATGTCACCCTTTTTGATTATGCCTACTTCATCATTCCACACTTTGTAACGGTTATTATTATTTATCTCTTAGTTCTTAGTCATTATTCTAACAATTTCATTTTACTTTATATTTATTTATTTTATTTTTTATTTTTATTTTTATTTTTTATTATTTTTTTTTTACCATCTCTACTTATGTTTCTCATACCTTGTTATCTGGTTATTTTCTTAGCCCTGATGAAGGCCTGAACTTCAGGTCGAAACGTCGGCATATGTAAAAATAAATATTATCTATTTTGCTTCCTTTTTGACTGACCATCCCAACTATTCTTCTCTTCAATTTATATTAAGGTATGATTTTTTTATTTATCAACATTTTTTATGTAACTGATTGCTTAGTTGGAATTCATAAACTGAATTTCGTGAATCTTCAATGTACTACTTCATAATTTACATTATATAAATTATTATTACACAATATAACAAAAAATAAATAAATAAAATTACTCAGCTCTGATATGGCAATAATAAACTGACTTTTATGCTGAACAAGATTATTTTAAGAACACAAATCAAATTAAGAACTTCCACCAGTCACATTTCTCTTTTATCTTCATTTGTTTTTCTTTCTTCGTTTCTTTTTACATATGTCTTATCAATGCTACTTAAATGAATCAGAGTTAATTTTTTTTGTGATAAATGATGACAGATGAATCCTAATTGTACTTTCTAGATCATACTTTTTTAAAAAGGTTTATGCATAATGCTAATATATATGGTCATATATTTCCATACCAAATGTTGCAAATTTAGCTATATTTCATTTAAATCAGACATTATTAATCACACTGTTAAAAAAAAATAACATATACTGTTTTTACAGTTATATTTTAATAATCTAGAGAAATGCTGATGTGATTGGTGTACAGACTTAAGATCACATCGATCATACTATAGATGGTATGCCAAAAGTAGCAATATGCAATGACAAGCATGTCCTCGCTTATACAGAATTTTAGGTTAGGTTGAATTTTGTCTTTTAAGGAGTTATGTGGTTATTAAAATTATTAATACTTTAATTAGAGATGGGGCCATACTACTTTCTTAAGGCTTTGTTCGAAACGACTGTTGAGGGTTTATATATTCCTTGATCAATTGGAAGTCAGCAATTGTGATCTTAGTTAAACGTTATTAATTTTAATATCCATTAATATTCTCAATGAATAGCATTGTCATTGAATATTTTAGTTATTGCAAAATACTATGAAAATTGTTTTTATCCCTCCACCTTCCTTCCCCATCATTATTCTGGATAATCGAGATTCTACTGTATCTTTTAACTATATAATATCTCTTAGAAAAAAGGGGTCACATTCTGGAGTGAAACAGATACAACTTAAAATTTTTTTATTTTGATAATGAACTTTAGGCACAGCCTATGTTCTTAATAGAAGCCCCAATATGTTTCCTATAACTTCAGTTAGTGATTAGATATCTGTTGCGTGAAGGGGGGGGGGAGACTCTTTTACCTACATGTCTTTAGTTTTTATGTGGCTTTCATAAATGATATTTCTGATATTAACTTACTCCATGGCGCTGTGCTTGAGATCGGCAGGACCATTGGCCTGCTTAACTTGAGTTACCCATTCTGTTCTGTCTTTTGCAGTCTGTCTCCAATTCCTGACTGCTAGCACTATCGCATCCTTCTTCATCTTCCCAACAGCTACGTGGTCTTCTTTTGACATCAATCACTACCTCCAGTGTCTTCCGTTGTACTCTTTTCTTAATTCATTTGTATAATATGTCCAGCCCATCTTAATCTGTATGCTTCTAGGCAGTTCATAATATCTTCATTCTTTAAAAATTACCGTATTTTATACTAGACATGTCCCTGTATTTATTCCTTTAGGTGACATTGTGTGAGGGAATGAGAAGGAATATATAGGAATGTGAGGTTGCACGATGAATTGTAGTCAATTATGCAGTGGACAAATTATTCATGGAAAAGTCTCATATCGATGAAGAAGGACACTGGAAAAAGGACAAAGCAGGTAGCTAGCAACAGCTGGAGAAGGACGCCAGGGAGAGAACTTACTTAAGGCTTGGGCACAGAGACGACAGGACGTTACCTGAGATGAGAGGGGCAGGACATTGAAGACTAAGAATATCAAGCCTACAGTTATAAGACTTTAATATATTCACTTATTACAGTTATAAAATACATTGTTTTGTTAGACAGAAGTGAAAATCCATTTATTTATTTAGTTGTCACATAGGCCTCACAATTGAAGAATAATAAACCAGGTGAGTCAATTCATTCAAAGTGTATTTACTAAGTCCCACATTTCAAATATATATTCTTATTGTTTCTTCTCACTCAGTGTCACAAAAGGTATTAGATTCCCGAATCCCCAACAACAGTTAAACGCCCTCAAAAGTCTATATCCAGTGCCGGGGTTTTGTTTTAATATTTACGAGTGTAAATAACCTAGTTCCTAGATAAAAGCGGAAGGCTGTTCCCCAATTCCCACCAAAAACAAATCATTTAAAATTAAATTTTAGCAGGTTATTTACAATTTCATTCATTTGTCTTTATTTTCCAGACGTCCTCAAAAAAATTTGCATCATTGATTCCCCTAACTAGTTTTTCTTTCAAAAATGTTTAATGTATTACAGGTGTTAACTAATAGTTAACTATACTAGTATAAAAATAAAAAATATTTTTATGACATATATACTTATTGAATAAAACTGAAATATAAAAAAATTATACCTATTTTAGCACTGTCTAATCTAAATGAGGCCTCTTATAAAAATATTCCTTAGCTGTAACCAATTGTGCTTATTGATTTGATTTGATATTTGAGCAATTATCGCTGAGATGATAAGGCTCCAACCATTAAAATTTCTGATGTTGGAAATATCGAGTTGTTCCTTTTTCATTCTGGACGAAAAGGAATATTTAGTTCCATAATAAAATATTATATGAGAAGGAGTTAGTCGAGGGTGCGGTCAAATAAATAAAAAAAAAAAAAAATTAAAATATATAAATTATTTTAATTTTTGCCGACGTTTCGACCCACTTTGCAGGTCGTCTTCAGGGCGTAGGATGTGGCACTGTGGGAGGCAGTTGAAACACTGTTTCAACTGCCTCCCGCAGTGCCACATCCTACGCCCTGAAGACGACCTGCAAAGTGGGTCGAAACGTCGGCAAAAATTAAAATAATTTATATATTTTAATTTTTTTTTTTTATTTATTTGACCGCACCCTCGACTAACTCCTTCTCATATTATATCAACGGTCAACCATCTCTACATCATTATAAAATATTATATTTCACTTATTATTTAAATGTTTTTTTTTTTCTTGTTTTCCAGATCTATTGTGGTATATGTGTTACTATATGTGTGACAGCATCATGGGTTGGCACAACGCATTGTATAAAGTACATGTATTATGTACCTTCACTAAAAGCTCCATATTCAAATCTTACTTCAAACACAACAACCTCAAAATACGTAAGTAAGCAGATTTTAAAGATATCCTTCTTTTTAACATAAATTTATCTATTATCTATAAAATATTTTCTAATTTTGTTGTAATAAAAATAATTATTATTTTAATATCGATGATAGTATTATTATTTTTATATTTACTTTTGTATTATTATTTCTGTTTCATGTAATTGAGTACTTGCATGAAATTTTAATTTGTATTCGTTGGTGAAGATTAGATTAAAACAATAAAAAGTTCACAATTTTTCTAGTGAATATTTTCAAAGATTATAGCGTCAAAGAAAAGTGGTGGGGATGAAGCTACATCATGAGCGAAGACACAGCAACGCTAGAGGGCACCAGCCCCTAGCTCATACTGTTGGGTATCTTATACTTATTAGCTTATACCAGGAGTTCCCAATCTTTGTCTACTTGAGGACACATTTTATAAATTAATAATAGTATCATAAACCTATGTCCTCCTGTCCTACAGTATCCTTTAATAATACCACACTTATCCCTGTTGAACAAATCCGATACCTAGGACTCCACTTAGACAAACTTGGAATCCTCATACCAGACTGAAACGACAAGAAACCGCTTGATGTTTCCGACTACTCCAGCACTTACTAGACAAAGCTAAGCTGTCAGTCAATTACAAAAGACTCCTATATATGACCACAATAAAACCTAGTTGGACTTATGGAGTCTAAAATTCTTCGTAAAATCCTCACTGCTCCTTACTTTGTCACAAATAAAATCATCCCTAACGACCTTAATGTTCCTTATGTTTCTGACCTGGCCCAATCCAGATACCTATCCTTCCATAACAAACTTCAGAACCATCCAAACATTCTCGTTTCCAACCCTGCTTCCTCTTCGATCCCTGACAACCCTCTGAGGCGTCTGAAAAGAAGATGGCCTCGAGATCTCCTTCTGTAAATACATTTTTAGAGTGCTACCAGTGGGTAGTTTCTCAACAAGTGGTTTCATGTTATTTTATTCTTTTGTTCACATGTATTGAATGTATTTTTATTTGTAATACAGTTATAAATATCATCAATAAAAAAAATAAAATAGTAAAGTGTCAATAATTAAGTGGCAGGCATCAATTTGTGGTTTTCCTAGTTTTCATTGTTGATAGTGATAAAAATAATAATATGAACAAATAAAATAGTTTTAATTATATTCTTATGGAAAATAAACAATTATATAATAATAAATTAAAAATGTATTTCCCAAATATAAAGTTTCTTTATAAAAAATATAAATGCTTAACAAAATGTGATATTTTCACTGAATTTCATTGGTAAGTGTTTTATCGTTCGCAGAAAATGATTATAATATGATAATCTATACCAGGAACTTTAAAACTTTTTCGCTCGCAGGTCACATTGAGCCCTCAACTAAGTTGTTGAACTATTCCCTCGCTTATACTATGCAGGTCCGAATTTTAGTTTCTGAGATATTTTAATCCATATACAAAAGCCTCCAATTAGTCGACTCTAACCGACTTTACCCAAGCAGTACAAATCGGAGATCTGACGGCTGAATCTGATTCGCTCTCCACAAAAAAAGTGAAAAACGCGCATGTCTAAAGAATTTTTCACTTTCAAAAAACACGATTATATTTCTAATTGCCACTTTTTAGATATGTTAAATTAAAAAAACTTGTTGAACTATAACTCTGCGGAATGCCGTTATCGCCTGCGATAGTCCTTGCTGTTACAGGTTAGAGTAGGCAGGCACAATTCTGCTCACTGGTACCCACGAGCTCTGGGTTGGGGAACCCTGGCATAAATTAATAATTACAGGTTTATAACTTCCATCCAAGAAATATATCTCAATTTTTTTATTTTGATCTGTCATCTACAAATAAAAATATTTAGTTTAAAATGTATTTATTAGCTTTTATAAATAAATAAACTAAACTAAGAGGATAGAAAGGTTGAACAGTATCATGTTTGGTGGCAGTATGTGTCACCCTAAGTATGTGGTTCCTTCAGTCCCCATCACTGTTCCCAGATACATTGTTATTTCAAGTTTTTTGCTAAGTATAAACTTATTTTCTTATTTAAAAATGTGATATCTGTCTTTATACGTTCTTTATTACTTGAATTATATTGCAGCTTAAATTTAAACAATTGTTTTTTCCATGCAAGTACTCCAGTGTTGCTCTATAACTTTTAATTACTGACAATAAAGGAGATTTTTATTTTTCCGGTTCTCTGTTGTGTGATGCGGATGTGGACGTGATTGTAGTCGGTAACATATAATGCCCCTTTTTTCACGACGTGGTTCATTACCAATTGGTTGGTGTTATTCTTCCCAATTTATTTTATTTGCCAAAGTATTGTATCAAAATGTAAACAGACATCTGATCTGTTTACTGAGAGCATACAGAACTTCAGGGACAAAGGATTTTCATTTGGTAAGTATTGAAATATAAGCTTACTATATAATTTTGTTTATTATTTACATAGAACCACTAACATTAATTTAATATGTTTGATTTTGATTTTCTTTCATCAGCTTCAAAGTAAAACTGCATAAGTACTAACTGTTAAAACTTTATTATTTCAGACAAATTCTGTTGTATTTTTGACCAAATTTGATGCTCTGATAAACAAATCAGATTAGGGACTAGACACTATTCCCATAATTCCTGAATCTGTTTGTGGAATCAGTCTTAGTTATGCCAAAATAAGGATCAAGGCACTATATGGTGCTAAGTTTAAACAGTACTGGTCTGATAAGGAACAGTAGCATTCGGAGCTATTCCTTCAAGGGCCTTGCGACAAAAGAAGCAAGCTGATACTCAGTTTAGATAGAGCAGCACTTAAAAAACTCACAGCGATCTACAATGGTCACTGTACATTAAATTATCATAAATATAGTCTCCGATTGATTAGAAATCCACTATGTAGATTTTATCATGAGGAGAACGAAACAGTCTTTCACATTGTTTGCGGGTGTGATAGGTTTGCAACGCTGTTTGGGAAAGACCAATTCTGGATAACCCCAGAATCTGTGAGTCTATCACCCCCTATTAAAATATGCGGAAGTGACAAAGTTAACAATAAAACGGACTAACTCATGGCGCACAATAGATCCTTGTGGTCGCGGAACATTATGCCAAAACAAAAAAACAACAAAAAAAAACGAATTTGATGCACAGAAATCAATTGTTAGTTTTTCTATTTGATATAGTATCTATTGCTAGTACTTATTATTTTAAAAAATATTTCAATATTATGAAAATTAAATTTTTAAACAGCTCTTATGTTTCTCTTTTAAAAAGTTGGTATTTGATAGTTATGCAGTTTTACTTTGAGACTGACAATTTGTAATATAGGTAAATACAAGTTCATTTCTTTTATAGTTAATCTTTATTTGAGTTGTAAAATTCATGTTTATTTTTTATTTATAATAATAAAGAATAACATTTGATGATTACTCCTACTATTTTCTTTTTCTTTCTTTAAGTTCAATGTTTCAGTTCTTAGTTCATTTCAAGGAAGAAACTTTAATTTAAAAATAAAATCATTTGTGCTAATTTGCTCTTGTCACACACTTTTGTCTAATTTTTAATAATTTAGTTTTTGGCTAGAGTATATGACATGGGCAATAATTTTATTTTTATATGATAAAATAAAATTTCTTCCCTTGAAAATGGCCTAAAGAGCGGAAAGGTTTAGTACAAAGAAAGAAAAATAAAGTAAGACTGAGGATCAAAAGTTTTTTTTATTTTTCTAAAATTATTTTTGATTTGATTATATTTATAATTACATAATTAATTTGATCTTGTAGGTCGTTTCATGCTCCGTTGTGGTCTTTTTTGTACTCTTTGGATTTTTACAAAATATGTGTACATAAATTCCCTTAGAATTTTATTGGCGACAGATGTGATGGCCTTATTTGCGACCAATGTAGCATTTGTTTATCTTCTATCTTGGGTCATACTGCACAAACAGTTTGTCGGAGTCAGGGTATTTATTTATTTCCTGTTTCGGATATTTTTATTATATGAATTGTATAATTTTAATTATTCTCTCAATAGATCGTTGCTGTGATCTTATGTGATACTGGTATTGCACTTCTTGCATACATGGACGGTATTAACACGAGTCCGACCCTCAATGGTGTGATTTTGTCAACATTATCAGCTTTTGGTTCCGCTGTATATAAGGTAAACTATCTCTGTTGGCAATATTTTACTATCAGTAATTTAACAGGGTGGTGACTGACCTGAGAATCCTGAAAGAAATTCTAGAAGTGAGAGAATTTTCAAAACAGGGAGAAGTCAGGGAAAAGTTTTTGATGTCAAGGAATTTTTTTAGTACAAAAATATATTTTTCAAGTTAAAAATAAATATACAGTGAATATCGTTTATAATGACCTTGAAGGGACAAACTTCATTGATTAATCGACCACAGTCGCTATATTCATCCACCTTTGACTGTAATTAATAGCACTGATCATTATATTGAAATCAAACAAGGGTAATGAATTAAATTTATGCAAAAAGGAATTAAAATAGTGCTATTTGAAAAGAAAAATATACTAGTACTATTTACTATTTGTTATATAAACATCTGGGTCAAGATCTGGCTGGGAAGTGCTCATTCGTTCGACCTGTGGTGCTCCTTAAAAGAGCATTAACTAACCAAAAATTTCATAGTTGGTGTAATATGTATAAATATTATGATTAAAAATCAATGAATGAAAATAATTTTATTATTCTGGGACTAGTATCCCTTTAGAAGAAATTACAAATACAGAATATATATTAATATTCTGGTGTGTCCATAAAATACAATTAAATATTTATAGGATGATTAGTAATAAAATAAAAGCACGGTTAATAAAAAGATATAAAACATACATGAATATAAAATAAACAAAGAAAGTAAAATAAATAAACAAAATACCAATAAATCACAAAATAATCAAAGTATCTGGGGATTATAGAGGGAGACAGCTTGAATTAAAAAGGATTTGTCAAACGCAGCAGTTCGGTGAGGAGGAGGATAGATGTCAGACATACAGGTTCTGGTGGGACGGGATTGAAAGGAGCGTTTGAATTGTAGGATCTGTAGAATATAGGAGGGTCTTCAAGTTCTAATAGCCTGGTATAGGAAGGTAGCAAGAAATTACTGAGGGTGGTAGGATGGATAAAGCCACTTCAACTCGATGTAAAACTAGGTAATATGCATAAGCGTATTGAGCAATTCATTAAACGTTAAATTTAGCTTAGAGTTCTCCAGAGAGTCCACCATACACTATACAGTCATATTCGAAGTGGGGGAAAACAAGAGATGAAACCAGGAGTTGACGCGTTTTGAATGGAAGAAGATAACGTAGATGGTTAAACTGTTTCAGGGTGGAAATAATGCAGCCGGAAATTTTGGAGATGTGTGGTTTCCAAGAGAGGGTTTGATCAAGGGTATTTTAACAAGGGTATTGTAAGGGGATTTTTAACAGTAGTATGGAAGGAAATTGGTGAGTTGTTCAGGAGAAGATTGGGAAGTACTGAAATGGATTTGAGGAGTGAGGGGATCCGATCATATTATCCGATTATATTATGCTGTTTATAATAATAAAGAAACTAAATTAGTATTAGAAATCCTCTTATCTCACTTTATTTTATAATAGAGATAATCTGAGGTGATCTCAAATATCATCTTTTACCTCCTCTCAGTTTATGAAAATGAAATAAAAGCGATAAAAATAAATTACTAAAAGAGTTTTCTAAAATAAGAAATCCCTAATCAAGCTTAAAAAATGCTTCCTCTAAAACATTATATTTGTTATTTTAAAAACTGATTTTTTAATTTTATTCTCAAACCATTTTGTAGTAAATTTTCTTTCATGTATAATAAATAAATTTAGTTATAAATTACACATTTTTAATATTTGTGTACCTAAACATATTGTTCAGGGAAAACTATCCTTAAATAAGAAAAAATCAGGGAACTTTAACTGTCTGGTAGCCACCCTGTTTAAGTTTATGTCATATTAATATATTTCTTTGTGATAAGCGACAATGCTTTTATATATAGTTAGTCACCAACTTAAATAGATTTTAAAATGAAATAATCAATCGATCAAACTAACAAAATTATTGATCTCTAGGTCCTGTTTAAACGAGTTTTTGGAGAAGCCAGTTTTGGACAAATTGGGTTATTCTTCTCATTGATTGGCCTCATGAATGCTGCATTTTTCTGGCCGATTTCATTGGCTCTCTACTTCACCGGAACAGAAGTCCTCGTTTGGGAGCATATGCCTTGGATACCTCTCCTCATAGCTAGTGTCCTGTCACTGGGTAATTCATTTTTAAAACTTAATAAGTATTAAATGTGTGAAATCCATTGGACAATACTAATTGAACAACTTAAAAAATATATATATATTGTAACATCCCTCTTATATTTTAAAATAATAATAATATAACCTCAGAAGATCACTTTATACCCTTAGGATACTTCCAAAAGAAATAAGAGGTTGTTAAATAAAAAACAAAATTATAAGAGTATTAATATATTTAATGAAGAGAAGAATAATTGGTGTGGTCAATCAAAAAAGAAGGCAAAAATAAATGATAATATTTATTTTTACATATGCTGACGTTTCGACCTGAAGTTCAGGCCTTCATCAGGGCTAAGAAAAGAACCAGATAACAAGGTATGAGAAATATAAAAATTACAGTAAAATGAAGTTGTTAGAATAATGACAATAGTAAGAACAAGAGACAAATAATAATAACAGGTACAAAGTGTGGAATGATGAAGTAAACATAGTAAAAAAAGGTGACATAAGTATTGTAAAGGGAATCTTAGAATAAAATGTAAAACAGAAAAATATGAAGTTATATAAGAAATGGAAATAAATAGTAAAATTAAGATATAGTGAATAGAATATTTAGATAGAAAATTGAGATGTTGTAAAGTCTATCAATATGTACAGACAAAGTATGAAATAATAAAGAGTTAAAACAGAGAAAAGGAATGAAAGGAAGGAGGAGAGAAACTGAGAAGGTTGAAATAAGAAAGAGAATAAGTAAGAGAAATGATAACAACCTGACTGCTCTATGGTAAAGATGCAATGCTCGTGTTATTGAAGGATGGAGGTGGATAGAAGGGGTGTATAGTGGCGTCATCTCCAACGGTTATCTGACGAAGTTTGAACTAACGTATCGGAAGCGTAAATAAGAATGAGAGATATATTATTCATAAATATTAAGGAATAAAACGAAAGTTGATAGAAAGAGGCAATAAAATAGTTTAAAATAAAATAAATTTATAATGAATAAATAATTTATAAATTATAACTAAATTTGTAATACATTTAAATAGTTGATAGAAATTCTGGAGAGGCACTAAAACGAAGAAAATAACTGTTGAGTAGTAATGGATAATCTCTCTCCTCCTTCCTTTCATTCCTTTTCTCTGTTTTAACTCTTTATTATTTCATACTTTGTCTGTACATATTGATTGACTTTACAACATCTCGATTTTCTATCTAAATATTCTATTCACTATATCTTAATTTTACTATTTATTTCCATTTCTTATATAACTTCATATTTTTCTGTTTTACATTTTATTCTAATATTCCCTTTACAATACTTATGTCACCTTTTTAGTTTTAATTTTTATATTTCTCATACCTTGTTATCTGGTTCTTTTCTTAGCCCTGATGATGGCCTGAACTTCAGGTCGAAACGTCTGCATATGTAAAAATAAATATTACCATTTATTTTTCCCTTCTGTTTTGACTGACCACCCCAACTATTCTTCTCTTCATTATCCACGACAGGCAACCATTTACCAATTATTAATATATTTATTTATCTCAGTTGTGGGTTACTGACAATCAGATCAACTCAGACAAACTATTATTATTTGCACTATTTATATTAAAATTAAACACTGGTTTAAAAATAAAGTCAAGTATGAATTTACAAGCTAACCTTTTTTCTACATACAATGTTTCTTTCTTTGTGGCACTGAACTCATTTGTCTTCACACATTTTTTTATGTTCTGCCAAACACATATCCCAAAATGGTAACACTATTCTTCCATTCAACTCAAGCTTTCTGGGAAATCCTTTCTCTTGCAATTCCAAACAGCTATTCTCCCTGCCAAACAAGATCTTCTAAGATGGTAAAACTATTCCTGAGTTTTACCCACTGGAGCCAGGATAGGATATCTTCTCTTATCCTCTCTTCACTACAGTCACACAACAACTGCTTGCAAAAACAAAAACCTTTGTCCCTCTCCTCTTTGGGATTTTCCTTCTTGGGAAATTACAGAGTAGCCATTTTCTTTTCCCTGCACTAGTAGAACTAGATTAGCTTGTCTTTTAAATGTTAACATTAATTTATTAAATCATTTTTACCCACTACCAATAAAGGTGTATATTACAATATTATTTAATGGAAACTAATCGTTTCCATAGAAACTAAATGAAATATTCAAGCCAAATAGAAACTTTTACAACTAGTAGGTCCGTGCGAAAAATTCGTTCAACATATAGTTATCAAATGCCAAATTAATAAGAAAATAAAATAATGCAACGTATCAAAAGATAAAGACATCAAATGTTACTTTATCGATAAATATAATCCACAAAGCAAACAAAAATTAATTTAAATCTTCATTTTTGTTTGGAACCAACATGTTTACAAATTTCAGTAAGCTGTATCTTTGCTAAAAATTGTCCGATTTCGATGATTTTTTTTTCCTTTTGTAGGGAATTTAGTAATCTTTTATATAATCATGGGCATAACCAAGGAAAAGTGTGTAATTTTTTAGTTATTCGCAAATAAAGTTTGTTTTCTTTCATAACTTGTTTGCCTGAATTTTCGGGTGATTGGACTATTTTGCCCGCCTGAAGGAGAAGGAAGCCTTCGAAATTGGTGGCTCAATCTTGAGATTTGGTGAAAAATTAACGATGATATGGCTTGCCGATCAAAAACACCATCGATAAATAATATAAACTCCTCCTCTCTCGATCATAGAGACCTCAAGTCGACGAAATGAGACATGTATTCAATGACAGTACTACAATTAATGTAAGGTTGTGTGGATGCGAACCCTATGCCTTGCGTTATCTCGAAAATAGTACGTTTTTGGGCTTAAAAACGCAGGATCCGATAGGTCCGAGGAACTATCCGGGTCTTGCTGTACGCATCAAAATCTTCAAGATCCAATTTGTCCCATATCGATCTACAGACCTACCACCGTTCCAGTATTGAAGCCTAGCAAAATGTTTGTAGCGACTTTATTTATTTTAGAAAGAAAAACAAAAGTGGAGAATACGATTCGCTAACCCCTCGTGAAATTCTGAATCCAACGGTACCCCATTCATGGTATTTGAGCATGACAGGAGCTTGTATTTGGTACAAAACCGATTTCGAGCCCTACTGTAATAATATATGTGTGGATTATTTTCAAGCTTGCCTGTAATACATCGAATTTTTGTTCTGAAATAGTTTAAAAACTGTTTTATTTTACTTTCCTGAGAAAAGTGCATGCTGCTAAAAATATTTCTTGCAGTATTTATGGGTTGATAAACATTTAGTAATAAGTTTAACCAAGATAATATATTTAAATAATTAATTATTAACCAGTGATTTTGTTGTTAGAATTTAGTTATTTTAGTAGGCTGGTAAGTGAAAGATGTGTGATGATCATTGCACCAATTTTTTGGGGGGGTGAACTTTATAATTTAAAAAAAAAAAAAATCCTGCCATGTAAAATGAGTATAGCTTCCTCATTATTTTTACTGAGTACATAAGACCTGGCGGAAGACGTGGGAGAGGAAGATCCCGCCTGAGACGGCTAGACAAGATTGTGGCCTTCCTGAAAAGGATGAGAATCCAGAGATGGAGAATGCTCATCCGAGATAGAGAAGAGTGAAGAATAATAATAAGAGAGGCTCAGGTTCTTGTAGGATCATATGTTGTAAAAATAAATAAATAAAATAAGATAATAGGCAGAGAAGCATTCACTTCACTAAGGTTATAATTTTATTTTAAACTAAATGAAATAATACAATAAAAACACTTCTAGAAATGCGGCATAGGTGCGCATATCACCCAACTTTCAATTACCATCCTTTTTTTTAGCAGAAGTAGATATTTTCAGAGAAATGGAAGTGTAAGTATAAATTACAGACGGTACAAAATATTATTTAAAACAATTAATTATCCTATGTTTTTCAAAGCCGTCTAATGTTTTGTATTCTTTGTCACTAATCATTATCGTTTTATGACTATACATTTTAATTATTTATTTGATTATAATAGTTTTAGTCCCATAAGAATGCCACTGATAAAGAAGGCCACTATATTTATTTATATTCCATTACAGATAATTTTATTTCTTTACCACCCTATTGATATATATACCAAGCATTGGTATATATACAAATTTTAATTTTTGTATTGCTGTAATCTATGTAATTAAATATTAAATAATACCAGTGCTATCAAAACCTCCTTTTAAAGTAAAATGAGTTGGTGTTTTCAGTTGCAAACCTTTTGGGTAACTTCAGCGTGGCGTGGACATATGACCTGTTCATCACCTTAGGCCTTATTACTGCTGTTCCAGTTTCCGCTGGTGAGTATTTTTAATTATACTTTTTATTTTATTTATCATAAAACTATTTTCTCAGGTTTTTTTAGTTTCATCGTTTGAATTGATTGTATGTAGTATGTACATGTACCATTCATGGATGCTCAAAGGATAATTTTAACTGCTTCTTTTAATATTTATAAAAACATCACCAAAACATTGAGAATTGGAATAGAATATAACAGAAGTATAAACTTTATTCTGGGACAAAGTCTCTTAAGAATAACAATATTGATCATTAAAATTAACATTACATCTGGCCAAAATACATATTACAATAAAAGAATAACTAAAACAGAAGTATTTACTACTGTTGAGCAGCCTTAAAATTTTATCATACTTCTCTCTTATATTTTTAGCGCTGGATGTTGTCCTCTATGGAGCTACATTTATTGAGATGAAACTGGCGGGTATAATACTGATCTCGATTGGTTTCTTCCTCGTCATGTTTCCGGACAATTGGCCGAACTATATTACTCGCCTACTCAGGTAAGTTATAATTTTCCTTTTCTCAAGTGCTATATTGCTTGGGCTTTCGAAATATAAATTCATTTCATTACAGTAGTGTATATAATATTTACTTTTTTATATATATCTTCTTTTTGAATTTGTAAACATATAAATATATAAATATCTTCTTTTTTATTATATTTGGTAGTGCATCGTTTTTTTGTTTCTCTTTAATAAAAGTAACTCCTACAGAATCTTTCGAACACTATTTGCTTCATAAAGAGCACATTTCCTTCTTATTTTTAATTATATACATCTTTAATTAGTCGATTTTAAACTATTAAATGAAATAGTGTAGCTAATTATTTATTTTTAAGTTAAGAACAATATTTAATCGTCATGGTTTCAAAATTATTTAATATGTTGTTAAACTTATTAGATATGTTTCTTCAGAGTGGTTATGAATATTTTTTATTCTATTACCCAAAATAGTACAAAACATAATCTGTTACAATTATTAATTTCTTTCGGCTTAAACAAAGTTCATTTTTGTTTTCATATTGAAAACTATTTACACATTTTATAATGTTTGAACTCATTGTTGAGCCGTTGCTCATGTTTTCCTCCATCAATTCTTTTATTCAAATCTGTCTAGCTCATGTAAAAATATGTCTTCTCTTAAATTTCATTAATTTTACGAATGTCGTTAGTTGAGTTATAGCATTTATTTTTAAATAATTAGAACTTTTGTTAAAAATTAATTTTTACTTTTAGTTACCACACATGACATTTTTTTTTTGTTTATATTTAAAAAAAAAACAAATAAATAAATAAACAGTATATGGCCTATACTTATATAGTTCTAGGTATGTATGTCATAAATAGTACTGAAATAATTATATTATGTTTATTAATCAGAAATTATGAATTCTTTTTTGTATTACTGAATTGAATTTTGTTAAAGAAACTTTCAGTGTCAACATTTTTAGTATTCTCTTATTTGGTTAAACATGTAAAAAAAATAACGAAATATTATATCTCTTAATAATTAAATTATCAATCTCGCTAGATGTGGAATCGGTCATATTACCAACAAAAAAACAAAACAAAAAAGGGAGAAGCACACAATTCAAAATTCAACATCGATCACAACATAAAATAATAATATGATAGATAAGCATATGACTAGTAAAGGTTTTAATAGAAAAGTCTTATATATATTGAGTTTTTATTTTTATTCAGATATTACGAACTTCTTCATAGCAAACTAATCAATTTTCAGTCCCTTTGAGTTCATTGTAACGAGGTTTTTTGTAGATGTTTTAGGGGGAATAATTTTTAGTCTGTGGTACAGACCCCTTTTTATCAAATGATTAACATCCAACTGAAACATCGTAAATAGATTCATCTCATCATAACCTGCTAATATTTTATTTACGAAAATTCTTAGAATTGGGTTGTTTTCAATCTGGAGGTCGGCAAACTTTATCTATTTAATTACGTACTAAAAACTGGTAAGTAACCATTTGCTTTCCACTTTAATCATAAGATAACTTGAGCACAAAGTCGAGAAAAAATGTGGCCTTCAAAAATATTGAGCCGTTTGGCCGGTATAACCTCTTTGTTTTGATAATTGAGGGTGTAGGTCATGCTAAACAGCGCAATATTTTTGAAGGCCACTTTTTTTCTTGATTTTGTGCTCAATTATCTTATGATTAAAGTGGAAAACAAATGGAAATTTACGTGTTTTTAGTACCTAATTAAATACATCAAGTTTGCCGACCTCCAGATTGAAAACTCCCCAATTCTAAGAATTTTTGTAAATAAAATATTAGTAGATTATGATGAGATGAAGCTATTTACGATGTTTCAGCCGGATGTTAATAATTTGATAAAAAGGGTCTATACCATGGACTATGTGTTCAATCTATTAGGCAACTATAGCTCTTAATTCAAAATTAATGTGATTTTTAGATGTATAATTTCATAACTTTTTTTCTATTTAATTCTGACCAAAAATTTACCTGTCTTTTAATAATTTTCATTAAAATAATTGTTTCAGCTTAAATATTTTATTTTTTACTTTACAATTACCAAATAAATAAAAACAGAAAACTTGTACCACTACAATCCATGAAAGGGGTCTTGGGTTCAAGTACTACGTAGAGAAGGTACTGTTTCTTGTTCAACTATTGTGCAAGGAGGTGATTTGACTGAGATCACGCTCAGATTTTCTCCCTTAATTAATTATTTAATTAAGTGTACCCACTTTATAGAGACTGGGTATGCCCCAGAAGGGTCTCCCAACCCCAAGATCAATCCACAGCTGACAAAACAGAATAAATAATTTATCTGCCATAAGCTGGGATTCGAACCTGAGAGCTTGAGCATTGAAATCTTGGCGCCCTACCGTCCACTCCCCATTACATTTACCCAATAAGTAACATAATACAGTACAATCTCAATAATCCGTAAATATAATTCGTGATCAACTGCTAGTCCCTTGGAAAAATCACAACATAAATATTTTCCCTTACCATTCTTCAATTATCTGAATTGAAGTGTCTATCTGTTTGGCTAAACAATTTAATATTCCTTTTGTCTACCCTTAAGTCAATTTTAAAAAAGAAAAAAAAAATCGTTATTGGACCTCCTAAGCAATCGTTGACTTTCTTCAACATAAGTTAATCATTTGTCACTTGATTTTCACAGTAACAATGGACATGCGATGATGAGGGTAAAAACTAAATATTTTTTGGAGAGATTGGGTACCTATTAAAAATGTCAGAACAAGTAACTGATGTTAACATATGTTTTTTATTGTACATGTATGGAATTTTAATAAAAACTGATTGTATTATAATTGGGACCAGTTACATACAATATGTCTGGGAGCCCTTTTCTTTTATTAAATTACAGTTCTTGAGATATTCTGTGAGGAGATATTTATAACTAATTTTAAACAATTAATATAGTTAATTCCTTTATTTTCTATTCAAACTTTTATCGCTGAAGGAGCATTAATTTTTTTGTGTTAATAAAATGGAAATAATTATTACATACGAGAAGAAGAGGGGCTTTGTCTCATGCGTTTAGAATAATAACTTATCTCCCGGGTGATGCTGTCGTCCTCTCCCTCGTCGATGCCCTCTCCTCCAATCCGGAGGAGTAAAACTGATGGAGTGTTAAAGGAAAATATTAGATTAGGCATAGCCAATAGGCTGTAAATGATGTCTTTGGACTCAGAAACCAGTCACCTCTCAGGTTGTCCGTAAAAAGTGGGTGAGATAGAGTGGGGGGGGGGGTTGCTTAGTGACCTGAGTGAGGTAAAACAAATGAGACCAGATGCCTCAACATGAAGCATACAAAAAATAGAATATAAAGTATATAATAAATTATATTATTAATTTTGGAAGGATGTAAATCTGACACTGATAATCCCTTAGTCTAATTTTTTTCTTTTTTTTTTTTAATCACCAATAATTCTTAATCCTGCTCTCTCGGAAATCTAAATAAACTTTGCTCTTTTGTTATCACAAATTATCGGGATGGTACCGTATATGAAAACATATGAATAAACTAAAAGATATTTTTTATTTTAATTACTTAATTGTTTTGTGGCGGTTTATGGCTGCTAGATTTTAGTATTTTCCCATAATTAAGTAGATGTTTATTATGAAAATAATTTTATTGAACGGTTCTTGATTTTTTTTTTAAATGGTTTGGCTTAATAGCGCATTTAGGCTCAAGTTTATAAACAATGAAAACTCTATAAGGTGTATTAAAATCATTTGAATATTTTTACCATGAATTCAATTAATTTCTTCCTTAGCTACAAAGGCAGGTAAAAATTGTTAATAAATTTTCTTTTAGATAAGATATATATATTTATATGGATTCTTATAGTTCTTTAGTGTTTTAATTTTAATTTTTATATAATGTTTTATTCATCTAAATAGCAAGAACTCATAGCATTGGATGCATTTTCATTTTATACATATTTTATGGAAAGACAAAAATGTAATTGTTTTATTACTTTCTTTCTAATAGAAATTTTCTTGAATACAATTGCAGACAGTCATTTTTTATTTATTACAGAAACATCATCCTATTGAGCCATAGTGCAAGGTGAGTCCGTTAGACAATGTTAACGTGGAAGATGTTTTGCATGATCCGTGTTCACTGCATGGCTCTACTTGTCGTGAATGTTTCTAATTATTGTCAGTTTCACAAACCTTCGATTTTGCATGTTGTTTGTTCACGAATGTTTTACTGTCTGTTTTCCTTTGTATTTGGTTTGTTGTTGAGCATTTGTTTTAATTATTACCGTTATCCAACACCAAACTGGTAAGATAGGAATGATAAATGTTATATTTTATTTCCATCAATTATTCTTCCTTTTTAATTGTTATTTTGTATATTTTCCTTAATTAATATTTTGTTTATATTTATAATTTTTTAACAAAAATAGTTTGAAAAATAATAAATTATTATTATTTTTATAAACATCTGCAGGACTTAAGAGCATTTTTTATTACTTAATAAGCTCAAACACTTTTTTGCACTACTTGAAATTTTATTGTTTTGCATTAAGTTTTTGCAGCTGTTTTTATTTTTGCAATAATCCGTTTTTTTTATGAATGAATGCTCTAAAGCTTTTTGTTGCAGCCACTTTATTTAGGCTTTAAAGCAGTTTATTGAAAAAATTAAATAAAAATGGATTTTTTTTTACAATTGACTTCAGTGCTATTTTCTATCTTTATCTTTGCTCATCTTAATTTTAATATCCGTTTCATTTTTCTTGCATACAGGTAGTAGTCCGTGGTTAGGATCTCTTTTTATCAAATTATTAACATCCGCCTGAAACTTCATCTCATCATAACTTACAAATACTTTATTTACAAAAATTCTCGGAATTGGGACGTTTTCAATATGGAGGTCAGTAAACTTTGTCTATTTAATTAGGTACTAAAAACTCATAAATACCCATTTGCTTTCCACTTGGATCATAATATAGTTTGAACACAAAGGTGACCTACAAAAATATTGAGCCCTTTGTAGGCGGTTGGACCTACACCCCCAAATTGTTAAAATAACACGGTTATATAGGCCAAACAGTTCAATATTTTTGTTGGGCACCTTTTTTGTTGATTTTGTGTTTCTATTATCTTACAATTCTAGTGGAAAGCAAACGAGTATTCGCGAGTTTTTAGTACTTAATTAAATAGACAAGGTTTGCCGACTTCCAAATTGAAAATGCTCCCATTCCAAGAATTTTCGTTAATAAAATATTTTTAAGTTTTGATGAAATGAAGCTATTTACGAAGTTTCAGGCAGATGTTAATTTGATAAAAAGGGATTTGTACCACGGACTACAGATCTTATTCTGCCTTATGTTAGTTTATTAAACAGTTTGAAATTGGGGTGTGGGCTAAGGCTTTCAGTAGGTATTTTAACAATGTCGAGCATGATACGTACTTGGATGGGTGGCCGAGTTGGGTAACTGTCCATGCTGTTCGAGATGCCTCTCCACCTGGTATGTGAAACCCGTCAGCCTATCGGAGGCAACTCACGACCGGGTGTAGGAATGATGACTTACCTCATGTACTTTAATTGGGTATCGCAATGTGGTTTCCTAAAGGTACTATTTCGCTGGTGCGGCCCAGGACATCGACCGCTATTCCACGCTGCCAACCGCTGTTGGCGTAGCTATTTCGCTGAAACTGCTCACTAACCTGCCTATAACCTTCGAACATTTCACTGTATCTTTAAATATAAAAAAGATGGACATCCTATATTAATAAAAATGAACATCTTATAATCCTATTATAATGAACATCTCTGACTACCACTTTTTTATTTGAGGAGGAAAAGGAAGAGAAAATGTTGTTCATAAAGAGAAGGAATATCAGTTTTTCGATGAGATGCTCATCATCAAATCCCTTCTTGGACATTGTTTGCTGTTGTCTAGATGAACAACCAAAAAAGAACAAAAAGGCAGGAAACGCCGTACTAACAACAATAGTCCCTTTGATATTAGATATTATTAGTTTGAAAAGTAATAGTAATTAATACATAATTGATTAGAAATAAATATCATATATTTGTAATTAAATCTCAGCAGGCGATGTTTTATAGTTTTATCAATAGTAATCAGTAAATCACCTCTTTAATTAATAAATACAAATCGATTTTTCAATGGGTGGATTTTAGTATTTACCTGACGATAAAATTTGTTGGATTCTTTAATTTATTTAATATCGTTTGGACTTAGGTATATTTGTATTTCACTGTAAAATATTGCTGGTGGAATGAATAAATAAATAATCTTGTTACTTCAACCTTAAAAAAAAAATTACTATGCATTGTTTCAGTTTTAAACAATATTTGTTATAATTTTGTCAGACTTGAAAGAAACATAGGAAATAAAATGTATTGATGTCACTGTTATCATCAAAACAATGCTCTGATATGATAACATAACCTACAACTGCCGAACCGCCAGCAGCTCCACTGCTTCAAGAGGAGTCAGATACGAGCAGCTTAGATATGATGTCATACCTAGACTGCCGAGCAGCGCCAGCGAAATAGTACCTTAAGATGTATTGTGCGCCTGCTGACTTTGAGCAGGCAAAATCTATAGATCTAGAATGATTTGTCGCTGTCCTTGGACTGAGTGAGTTGTTGGGTAGGACATGCTTGATTGGCCCCGTAGAGATCAGCTATGTATCTGTGGATAGTCTGGGGCATCACCGTGGATACCAAGATCTCTAGCCACTTGAGGTTGGGTGACTGCCTCCAGATTGTGCAGCCAAAGATCTGCATGGTTACAGCACCAATTGGAAAAAAAGAAAAGAAAATTTTGTTTTAACAATCCGGTTCACGAATGAATAGATGAAAAATAATTTTATTCTGAGACTAAAGTTCCCTAAGAATAATGATAATGTTCAAGAAACAAAATAATAAAATGGTATTTGGTTTATAAGGATTTTCTGGCAATAACCCTCTTTTTCCTCGACCCCAGTCCCATTTGGTGGAAACTTTAAGTTTTAATCATCTGATAGCACAACACATCCCCACACACCAATGTGATAAGATAAATCAAATATTTGTCTACGATATGCAAGTTGTAGACATTTTTGTTACTTTTTATATAGGACACTCAACATGTGTTTACTTAATGTTATATTTAAACCATATGTTAAAAATTTTCATTAGTACTTTTACACTTTGTGAATTTCATATCGGTGGTAGGTATTATTATGCTTTCTATTTTTCACTAGCTCCAATTCTGTTCCAAAAAATTAGCCTTTCTTTTTATTTCCAAACGGATTCATTGGTCCTACTTACCTGCATGTTATACAAGTCATGCGTATATTCTAGATTAATTTTTTATCATTTTTTATGAGATATAGCTGCTATAAATAATCTAATATAAGCTGGCTTAAAATTTAATGCATAAAAAAAAATGTTAAGCAAATACTATGTTGAAGCAAGCCATAAGTTTGAGATAAAATCATTTTGGGTTAGGTTTATTGCACAAATTTCTACTATTTGTAGAAGCGGTTTGATCTAAAATAAATATCTGAAGCAATTATAGGAGGAAAACTAATTTAGCAAATGTATTTTATTTATTTTTTATATGAATTAAAATAAAAAAATTACTTTTATTCTATTTGGTTTGTAAATTAATATCTTCCTCTCGTCGGTTTATTCCAAAAATTCACTAAGTGCATTTTTGATATAGGTTAACTTTCAAATATGTTTTTCTAAATTTTGACTTTATTTATTGTTACATAAACTGTAAGTTGATGAAAATGACAAATAGCCTCTTATATATCAAATATACGTACGACAAGAGTACAATGTTCTGATTTCATTCATAACGGGAAAATTCTTCAAAGTTCATAATTATTTTAGGTTAGGAAATGTCAATTTATGACTTGCAATGAACTGACAGTATTTAAAACAGACTATAGGTTTGAGGGTGAAGTGGCCGAGGTGGCTAATGCAAGTACACAGCACTGTTTGTTGCCTGGCAACCTGATAGCCAATGTTATGAATGATAAAATAGTTATGAGTTCATGTCCCGATGCCGAGAGGGGCTTTTAAACCCCTACCCAGGAATATCCTGTATAGCCTGAAAGGCAGAGGAAAAACAAAAAAAAAAAATTGTTGAGATATTATTT